CTTAACTGCCGAATCGGATGCTCTGAATCGGAAGCCAACTTCAGGGTCGTTTGCGAGGGAGCCCTTGCAATGCTAACTGCCTGGTCCGTCTAGAAAAATACGTCATCACTGCACCACTTGAGCTTTTGTAAAACTAAATAGCCAGAAAATACGTACTGTTTTTTATTATTCAAATGTTCGTTTCTGTCTTTCCTGTCTGTCCTACAGCCGCTCACATCGGCGTGGGTATCAGTGGTCAGGAGGGCATGCAGGCGGTCCTCTCCAGCGACTACTCCTTCGCCCAGTTCCGCTTCCTGCAGCGCCTCCTGCTGGTGCACGGCCGCTGGTCCTACCTGCGCATGTGCAAGTTCCTGCGCTACTTCTTCTACAAGAACTTCACCTTCACCTTCGTCCACTTCTGGTTTGCCTTCTTCTGCGGCTTCTCTGCGCAGGTGAGAGTCCACTACGATAATTCACTGTCTACTTTTAATGGTTTAATGGTCTCTAAATATCTCAAATATATTTTGCAAAAAGTATTCCATGGTGTTTTTCTAATCGAATAAAGGAAAACAAAACGTTTTTTTTGCTGCAGCTTAAGTTGAATTCACCAAGATCCTTTATTTTGGTTGATATGATTCTCTCCCATAAATCCCTTGGATTTGTATCAGATGGCCTTCTGGAGGGGCTTGAATCTTGACCTTGCTGCATCTGTATTATTAATATAATATATAATGTAAATATATCAGCCACTAAACAAGTACATATTTTTCAGATCCTTAACTCCTTATGTTTTTTTTTTTTGCACTGCTACTTCTTCTTTACAAAATAAACATCTTTAGCTCTTCTTTGTTTAAGGATAAGGTTTGCAACTTTGTCTTTCAGACGGTGTACGATGAGTGGTTCATCACACTCTACAATCTGGTGTACACAGCACTACCTGTCCTGGGAATGAGTCTGTTCGATCAGGTAATTTAAATATATTATCATTATGATCATGTATATGAATTACATGTATGAGTATTTATGTATGTTGTTTATTTATTTATTGTGTTATTACTATTATTATTTATTTATCATTAGTACTAATGCTTTACTTATTTATTTATTTTTCATTCACGTATTAAAACAAATCCTGCTATTGGAAAAAGGCATACACTAAGCCTAAGGCATGTTTATTTGTTTTGTTGTTATTAAACTGCTTGTAAATCAATCAATCAATCTAAGATAATAATACTTACAAATACTTTCAATACACACAGGTTTCGCCCTGGAAAAAACATTGTAACATCTCAAGCTCTACATGCATGGGAGCCATTCCATTCCAGTCTTTGTTGAATACCAACACAGATCAATTATGTCAGTAGTTTATAGAATAAAATAAAAAATATGTTAATAGTACTCAAACACATACCTATAAATAGTAAAACCAGAGAAACTGATAATTTTACAGTGGTCTCTTCATTTTTTTCTAAAGCTGTTTATCATAAAAAAAACAGCTGACTTCTTCTCTCTCCCCCCCTGCTGGTCAGGATGTGAACGACGTGTGGAGTTTCCAGCAACCTCAGCTCTACGTGCCCGGTCAGCTCAACCTGTACTTCAGCAAGAAGGCCTTCTTCAAGTGTGCCCTCCACAGCTGCTACAGCTCCATGGTGCTCTTCTTCATCCCCTACGCCGCCATGCACGACACGGTGAGGGGGGACGGGAAGGACGTCGCCGACTACCAGTCCTTCGCCCTGCTCACACAGACATGTCTGCTGTTTGCCGTCACCATCCAGGTGAGAAGAAGCTTTACTCTTATGGATAGTCTTTTGCAGTAATAATCAGGCTTATAATTAAAGGTCACCTGTTATGCAAAATCCCCTTTTCCATGTCTTTTTTACATAAACATGTGTCCCCTCTGCGTTAAGAGATTCTGAAAGTTTCAGGAAAAAAGACCCCCTCTCTTTTTGTCCTGATCCATTTATATAAAAACCTGTCTGAAAATGAGCTGATCAGATTTTGGCCACTTTATGATTTTTTGGCTTGTGTAACCATTAGCCAATAACCAACCAAGGTAACACCCGCCACCGTATCACCTGAATCTCCTCCTAGAGCAAAAGAGTAAAAGACACAGAATCAGCACTTTTGAAACAGGGCTGAAACAGAGGGGATTATGGGATGCTACAATGATCTGTTCGGTATTTGGAGCCAAACACTTCAGAGACATGTTTTGTATATCTGAGACCTGTAATGTATTGATGAAAAACATTATAATAGGGGACCTTTAAACAAATGACACATATGTTGTGTTTTCTCTCCGTGTTCATAGTTGTGTTTGGAGATGTCTTACTGGACGGCGGTGAACACTTTCTTCGTGTTGGGCAGTCTGGTCATGTACTTTGCTGTCACGTTCACCATGTACAGTAACGGCATGTTCCTCATGTCTCCGTCAGCCTTCCCTTTTATCGGTGAGTGGGCAATTCATTAACTTACAAGATAATTGAATTCAAAGAAAGTCTTATGTACGTTTCCAACATTCGTCTTGATTAGCGAGTAATGCTTTGCTTGTATTTTATAAGCCTCTGACAGAGAAAAGTTGCCAGTATCATTCAAATGAGTTTGATTATACTTGCAAACACAGTGTCAGAATAGTGTTTGGTTTGTTTGCACATTCAAAATGTTTTGTTACAACAAAACCAACTACCAAAACTGGCTCTGATTACTGATGTGTGATTATCCAAAATAAAGTTTATTTTTTTAAATAATCAAATTCTCAGCACCGTTGTGTCAAAAAGGTCACCAAGGTCAGTTTTTCCTTTTTTTGAGCAAAACATTACTTGCATCGTTGTCATATGTTTAAAAAGTATCCTTTCAATCTTGACACGAAATTTGGCAGTTAACATTTCAAACAATTTCCAACCCGAGTGATGTTTGTTTGTGGAAGTTGCTCTTCAACAATAGAACATGATATTATATCTCAGGAATTAAATGTTTTATTGTTAATCTTGTCTGTTGAACCGTTAAAATTTGTATTTTTTCCCTCGTTTAATGTTACTTCTATCCAGAAAGTAAAGGTTATAAGTGCATTTTTTTTTTAAACTGACATTTGGAAAACATAGAAACATTTACAAATCTTATTATGTGCGTTTGTTTATCCAGGAACAGCCCGTAACTCTTTGAACCAGCCCAACATTTGGCTGACGATCCTCCTCACCTCCATCCTGTGTGTCCTTCCTGTGGTCACATACCGCTTCCTGTTTATTCAGCTCTGCCCCACCATCAACGACAAGGTACACATGAAGCTACACTTAACCCTCCAGGCATGCTAAGAGTTAAATTCTGCAAGTTTTTTTTTTAATATAAATTGATTTTAGGTTACCTTCCTTTCATATTTTTGAAGAAATCCTCTGGAGGTTTGCTGGAGGCTATCATCATTATCATTCACACACACACACACACACACACACACAAACACGCGCGCGCACACACACACACACACACACACACACACACACACACACACACACACACACACACACACACACACACACACACACAGAGGGGGAGAGAATGAAAAAGTAGCCAGAACTTTTATAGAAACGATCTTAAAAACGATTTTAAAATTACAAAGCTAGTAAATCATGACAAAATACTTGAAAAATAAAATATGTGCAGCAATCGAAATTAAAATTGGGAGCTGTGCAGATTTAAAAAGAAATTGCCTTGAACATAAATGTGCAAAGTATACAGAATCATGTGCAGGATCCATAGTATTTAAGTTAACAAGATGCGTTACAATCATAATTATTTAGCCAACAGCTGTAAGATGAGGGATATTTCTCAAACATAACAAACTTATTTAGCTCTGCTTCTCATCAAAACCAGTATGTAAAATGTTCTAACTGCTATAAAAATATCTAGCGCAACATAGTGATTATAGCCACATCAAACATCTTGGTCCTTGAAGACTCATCATTTCCCCAAATTAATCTCGAAATAAGTAAGCACATGTTTTGGATAAGTGAGCCAGCCTTTTAACAATCTGCCCCAAACTCTCAGATAATGTTTAAGGTGAGACAGGCCAAAGCCTCACCCGCCCCCCCGCCTCGACGCACCCGAATCCGGCGCACCAGCTCCCGCCGCTCAGGCTACGCCTTCTCCCACGCGCAGGGCTATGGGGACCTGGTGACCTCGGGGCGCTTCTTGCGGCGCCCCGCTTTGTCCCGATCCTCAGGTTTGACCAACGCAGGCCGCACCACCACAGGCTTCAGTCCCATGGGCCGATCGGCGGGATACAGCCCGACGGGACGACCGCAGAACGCCAAGGTCTCGGATGTGGAAGTTACGTCGCTGCAGATGTACAGAACTATCACTGACCCTTCCCTCTGACAGAGAGAGGGTTCACTTTAAGATCTGGGAGGAGGTATGATGTCACTTGGACAGCAACTGGTGTTTTAAAAGCTTCCATTTGTTCAATGAAGAACTTGCTTGGGCTTTCCGGAAAAAGTCATATTATCTGCACGGTCGACCAAAGCAAGGTTTTGAAATGACCGTGCATTTTATTTTGTAACACTTTTATCAAAGGGAACTACAGCAAAGTGTGCCGATGGATCCCTTTCTTTAGATCATGAGTGTTCATGTTCAACATGCCTCATGCATAGCCATCACATGAGAGGACAATGGAAACAGCTACAGGGTGATTCACTCACAGATAGGAACAACCACAGAAACCAGGGGAAACTTTTTGGCTTCAAGAAAAGGACAAAGTGTCATCATGTTTACAGATTTCCCGGATTTCCTTTACCTCGGGAGTCTAGATGCACAGCAGGGCTTTGTGCAGAGGAAACAACCAGCAAAGCCATTTTTGTATACAATTATTTTTTATTTTTGGTGTCTTTTTTAAAGCATTTGATTGTTTTCTCTTTAAAGATTTTTGCACTTTGGCAGTGGGAGATAACTGAATGTTTGAACGATCATGAATGTTTCGTAGACAAAGTTCATATGCTCAGTGACGGCAAAAGTTAAGAAAATCTGCTGGTTTATAATTGTTTACTTCAATCAACCTTCTCTGGCTGCATTTAAGAGGTTTATCGTTCTGTACACAAAGTTATATTGGTGATATTTCAATCGATACCTCAAGGTTTTCCACTAGTTCAGCATCTTCGGTGCAGTCTTAGCATTCTGCATTCAGAGCCAAACGCATGTGTTAAAGGGCCAGTGTGTCATATTTATTAGGATCTTTTAGCAGAAATAAATATGTATAATATTAATTTCATTAATGTAAATCCTCTTTGGACAATTGGTTGTGTGTATTTGATCTTAGGATAAGCACACCTACATTCAGTTGGCTGCAATGCTTGATACCGCTAAATCCTACAAACTGCAGGTCCCTTTAAAAGTGACGTATAAGCCATTTTGATTTGACATTCCATTAAAAAGCTGTTTATGAGATACTCCATCATATCATAATAAGTCATTATTTTACTAGCGAACTAGCTTGCTGCAGTGTATGTGGCAATCAACTTGGTAGTAAGCAGTATTTCTAATTACTTTCCTCGATCTTTTTCTCTTCAGCTTAATGAAAATATAATTCCTGTATATTGCAATGCAGAAACAGCGCTGACAAGAATATTTGATGGAAGATGATGAGGTTTTATGCAACCCAGTCAAGAACTAGTAATGTTTTTATGTGAAGCAAACATATTGTATACAGTCTGGTAGCTTGTCCCCTCTGTGGGATCAATCTTCAAGCAATTATTTTAGTGTTTGAAGGTTTCCAAACTGATTTTTTTTTGTGTAATTGTACACATAATATCTGACCATATCTTTATTTTTCCATGGATATGCAATTACTGTTTTTAATCGCTCATCATCTTTTCAACTACAGTTAAATTTAAACCATTAGACTGGCCCTGTTATCCCTTTCCTGTAGTCTGTTATATGTGTTTGTGTGCATGTAAATGGTCTGCAAAGGCTAAAATTCCAAAGTTACCTCCAGAGGGAGTTTCTCTCCAACACTCCCCCCCTGCCTGAAACACCTCCATTGGACTCCTTTGTTGACTTCTGTAACATAGTGACGTCACTATGTAACACTTCTATTGGTTAAGCCGCTCCAACACCATTGTAGGCGGATAGGCTAAGGGGTGGGACATCTCTAAGCTAAGTTGACCAATCACAACAGAGCCAGCCAGCTAACCAATCAGAGCAGACTGGGCTCTGGTTTCAGACAGAGGGTGAAAAGAGGTGCTGCAGCACAGGCAGTATGAGAAAAATAAAGAGCCTTTTGAGCATTAAAGTATGTAGACATGTCACAGTAGAAGAACAAAATACAATTATGAACCTGACATTGAGAATAATAGGCCCCCTTTAAGAAGGATGGTGGATGCCTTAACGTCATAAACGGTAGTGTGTGTATCTGTAACCACATGCGATTCAATCAGTCGAATTAAATATCAGCACACTAAAAGTTAAACCAAAGAATATGATTTATTAAGGCTTTGTGTGTTGTAGTCTAGTTTAAAGAGTCTGATGCTGGAGGTCAGTGTGGTGAAGCTGATTTGCACCACTGACAACTCAGTTTTTATTACTGCAAAGTGTTCATCATGCAAATATGCTGAAGCTGCAGAATAAAACATTCAATCCATGTTTGTAAGCGGTTTCCTGCAATTGTATCTTTGACAAAATGTTTATTATTTTTTAAATCAAGCTAATTTTGTTGTTTGTTTATCGATGTTGAATGTTTTCAGTGACGAAAGGTATGGTAGAGAATCCAGTTTGTGTTTAAAGTGGAAATAATAGCTTAAGAAAAGATGGTGACGGCTTTATATCTTGCCCAAATTGCAGGTCTGCTAATGTCTTTTTACAATGTTTCTGTGGTACTTTCCAAAATAAATTGTAGCCGTAATAAAAAACGTAAGATATGCATCAGTATATTACTATCAGATATATTTAGCCCTGAAGACTGAAGCTGTAACATGATTTTTTACAATTATTCACCAAACATGAAAATATCCTTTAGCTCTGCTTTTCCTCATAATCATTTTGTAAAATGTTTTTACTGTAATAAAAAGATCTAAAAGATCAAGATGTTTTGTATGTGCTCTCAAACCTTTTTTCCTTTAAGAAAAATATGTGTAATTTACATTTCTTTTTTGAGACATTAAGCGCTTTTGTCTTAAATGCAGTGCATTTTTCTAGAAACTTAGAGGTAGATATTTTTTTTTTTATACAACTTAAATAATGGTTTATGGCCAATTCAGTGTTTTCACAGCTCTCCACTGATACTTTGGGCCACTGGGTCTGGAAAGGCGGTTCAATAATTCATCCATGAATCCAAGTATAAGTTCATCTCCAGCATAAGTCCAATAGAATTTCGAGTGAACTTTAAAGTACTGGTTGACCGGCAAATGTGCATACAACATATTTCTTTTAAATTATAAGAGACTGCCCAGAGCCCAATCTTTTTATAATCCATCCACATGTTCAGAAACAGCAACCAAAATGAAAAGAGAAGGTAGAGGTATTACTTATAGTTATTAGATAAATGAATGTCAGTCAAATTAAAGAACATTTGAAATGAAAGTAAACATAAAATATAATTGAGTTTTTATCAAATTCTTTGTCTAATAAAACTATAAAAAGATACTGAGCCATCTGACTGCTGTCAGATGGCTGTCATCAGCAGATGGTGTAATAACCCTTGAAACCACATCAGTATAATACCTCAGCCAAAGCCTCCATCATTTTTCCAATTACTATTGTGTAACATTGAATGAGTATTGTCTTGCTGGAACACAACAACTGTGGAGCTTCATTAAAGAAAGAAAAAACAACACTTTACTCTTATATTGAGGGACACAGGCAGTAATATATGCAGTATGTAATATATAACACTGAACTGTTGTCTTGCTGGTGGTCTGGTGAAGAGTATTTGTTACACCCCACACTTAAAATGGCCCTATGGGGCTAACAAAATTCCACCACTGACCCACATACAACATTACTTCTATTGTTATATACATGTCATTTGTTAGACGCTTTTATCCAAAGCGACTTACACATTCAGTACTGTGGATAATCCCCACAGGAGCAATTTGGGGTGAAGTGTCTTGCCCAGGGACACAACAACATGCTGACTGCAGTGGGACTCGAACTTGATTCGAAGTCCAGCACACCATCCACTGAGCCACAGCCTCCCTAACACAAATAATCAAATCCATAGAATTTATTATAATCAAACATAGTGTACAAATATCCATCCTGGACAGAGGCAGATTCACAGCCCTCCCCCCTGCCAGAGGCCTCTCTTCTGCTGCTGAACTGGAGCTTTTAACCTCTTCCTTCTCCAGGTGCACCTCAACTGAACTATGCTGCAGCAGCGCAGCACACCTGACGAACTACAGAGAAAAAGGAAAACATACAGCCGTAATACCCCCACTCTTAAAACAATGAATAAATAGAAAAATAACATCTTACTATTCTATTCGTTAACATGTATGTATAATTTCACTGACTGTTTAAGGCTGTATGTAAGGCAGCCAAACACACATAAGCACACTAGGCGTAATATATCAATATGAAAACAAATGTGCATTAGATCAGATAACTATTTAGGACTACTGACAAAAAGTGTCAACCTGGGTCAAATGTGGAACAACAAGATTTACTAACTAAGATGCTGCCACATAGAATAAGCAGCAACCACACAAGTAGCCAAATCAATGAAACAAAATGACTACCACCATGAGGTAACAAACAACAAACTACAAAGCCAACCAAGTTACTGCGTTTACCGACACAAACCGTAACACACATGTCCAACACAGTGTGGAGTGCAACAGCCACAAACCAAAAGGATCACCACAAGTAGACCAAGTACAAAGTTGCTGCCATTCACTAATAGCAACACACTATAATACAAAAAAAGTGAACTGCCACTACCACAACACAAAAATGGTCACCATGTGATCTTCCAACCACACACACAAGTTACTGATGGATGCAGGAAACCAGCAACACAAGCTCACTTGACGAACCAGGCATGAGCAACTACTAATTTGCTACAATTAAATACATGGCAGCCACAACACCCATGTGACCACCAAAAAGTGGACTGCAACAACCACAACACACAAGTTGCTGTTTAAAAACTGTGAATACAAGCACTAGTGAGGCACCCCAACCCTGAGCTGCTGGTGGAGATGACTAACTTAACCTAGCCTTCAGTGGCTTGCCGAGCTCGAGGTGACTTTAATGCTGAACTCAAGGACCTAGATATAGCCTCAATACACTAAAGCGTACCCCCACGCAAGATTACCACCAAAAATAAGAAAGGCAAAACAAAAAAGTGGCAAGATCTTCCAACCTGCATGGTGACTAGTCAGGGTGCTCAAACTGAAATTGCTAGCTAGTGAAACAATCAAATGCTAAACAAAGAGCAATAACCACACATTAACTCAATCCAAATCTCTACAAAGCAAACAACGGCCACTAGATACAGACAAATACCTACACATTTACCTCACCTCATGGACATTCAATCTCAGACGACTCCGCATTTCTAATGCCCTACCCTTAAAATGGCTCTATGGGGCTTACAAAATCACACAACTGACCCAAATAGAACACAGAAGACACCTTCAAATAAATAAAATCCATAGCATTTATTACAATCAAACATAGTGTACAAATATCCATCCTGGACAGAGGCAGAATCACAGCAGTCCTCTTGACCTCCTCTTTCTCCAGGTCTCTCTCATCTGAACCTCGTAGCACCAACGCAGCACACCAGGAAAGAGGAATAGGGAAAACGGAACAGGGAACACATAAAGCCGTAACAGTATTTATGATTTTGAAAATGGGCATCGTGTATGAGATGAAAAAACAATAAAATAAAGTTGGCTCAAAGGTGTAAAGCTTCATGTTGTTAGATGTGACGACCCCTCCACACCACGTGGGGTGCCGTCTGGTTGTGGGTGTGCTTTGTGGGTGTTCACAGGTTCATGTGCTGATGAGCCGCACGCACCTGTGGGAGGATACCTGCCTGATGAGCTACACCTGGAAAGGAAAAGGATATAGGAGGAGCCCAGCCGTTACGTCGCTCTCACTCCTTTGGGCACTCACTCCGGGCCAGCTTCAGGGACTTGTTGCTGGTTCTCTTCACTACTTTGGTTGTTGAGAATAAAAAATTGTTATTTTATTACCCTTCGTCTCGCCTCCCTGTTTTTTGTTGCAACCCAGGAGCCGGGTTGTAACAGAGATTTTAAATTGGGTATATTAAAACAATATTTTCTATATAAAGTTGAATTATTATACTTTATATATATATGTATATATATATATATATTATTTTCTTTATTTTGACCCTCTGCGATACCTGCTGGTATATCAAATATACAAAGCATAGCAATGGGTCGTCTTTATCTTTTAAATCTTTGAAATTGATCTAATGATAGCGCTTCATGAAACATCGGAGGCTCCCCAAAGCAATTGCAATTCATCCTAAGAAGAACATGAATGTGTTGTGCACAAAACCCATCTACTAACAGTGAAGAAATGTAACAGAATGAGGGGACACTTATACTTGCTCATGGCGCTAGTGGGAATGCCAGGGGATGACAATGTCAGTAGAAATTATCCTCTGGGGACCATGAATTTTGGAACATGATGACATCCATCCTCATGCTGCTAACACCTGCGTTATGGTGCAAGCAAATCTGTGATGGGAGGAATCATCCAGTGTCAGTTTTGTGGCTTTTTTTTACCAAGTGCACAATAATGTGGATCAGCTGCTCCACCTAAGGGGAAGGAAAATGACTCCCACTCTAAAAGCTCTGTGTGAATCTCAACAGCACAGCCCCTTCAGAGCTGAGTGTGTTCAGCCTCCACACTACACACACATTTAAACACTTCACCTGTACTTTCAAGGCAAAACGCTCTCATTTACGATTGTATATCTGAAAGTATCTTATCTATGTGTCTTAACAAATTAT